GCTTGCTTCTAACCCCAGCACTCAGGAGGCAGAAGCAGGATTAGGGATTCAAGGTTGCCCTCAGAGACGTAACAAATAGAGGCTAGCCTGGGCCACATGAGATTCTTTCACAAAACAAAACATAATACGCAAACATAATAAGTCTGGGCTGTCAATGCCTGCTCAGTGGGTAAGGTGCTGATAAGCCTGATGACCAAATTGAAGTTCCGGAACTCACCTGGTGGAAGTAGAGGTTGGAGTCCCCCGAATTGTCCTCGGACCTTCACTTGAAGGCCATAGCATGCTTATGCCAATTCCTCCCCAGCAAAATAAATGTTAAAAACAATGACAACAACATAGGCTTCAAAATCTACTAAAAAAAACTGCCAAGTGGGCTGGAGAGATGGCTCAGAGGTTAAGAGCACTGACTGCTCTTCCAGAGATCCTGAGTTCAAGTCCCAGCAACCACAGTAGTATACTGTGCCAGCTTGAGACATGCCCCCAAGAAGTAGGCGAGAGTCTTTGCACATTGATGATGCTTGCCGTGTCTGCCGTGGGAAGGCCCTGTTAACCGTGAGTCCAGGAAGCCTTCTGTTTGCTGTTCTACTCTACTGTTGGTTTTGTTATTGTTGTTTTGTTTTGTTTTCCAAGACAGGGTTTTTCTGTGTAGCTCTGGTTGCCCTGGAACTCACTCTGTAGACCAGGTTGGTCTCAAGCCAGAGATTCCACTGCCTCTGCCTCCCAAATGCTGGGGTTGAAGGTGTGTGCCACCACACGTGGCTATCTATAACTAATTGTTAACATTTAATTTTTGTTTTACTATTTGTATGTGTTGTGGGGGGTGGTGACGGTGGAGGTCAGAAGAAGGCCTCAGATCCCCTCCCATCTTTTTCTCTTGCCGCAGCAGAACACCATGACTAAGGCAACTTAGAAACAAAGCTCAATTTGGGGCTTAGGCCTTCAGAGGGTTAAAGTTCACTGTGGCAGAATGAAGATGGCAGGCAGCAGGAGGCTGGAGCAGCAGCTGAGAGCTCACATCTTGAACCACAAGCAGAGAGCACACTGGGAATAGATGACGTTAGTCTTTTGAAACCTCAAAGCCCTGCCCAGTCCACCTCTTCCAATGAGGCAACCACCAACTAGGGAGCAAGTATTCAAACACCTGAAACTTATGGGAGAGGGCTCATTCAAACCACTGCACCCCACCAGATGGAGTTACAAGCAGTTGAAAACCCCCTGATGTGGGTGCTGGGAATTGAATTCACATCTTCTGGAAGAACAGGTGCCCTTAACCACTGAGATATCTGAAAATAGGGTATTGCTAATGTAGCAGTCCTGGCTGGTCTGGAACTTTTTCTTCCTTTCTCTACTTCTTCCTTCTTCTCCTTCTCCTCCTTGTCCTTCTTCTGAGACTGGGTCTCACTCTGCAGCCCCGGCTGTCCTGGAACTCACTCTGTACACCTTGAACTCATAGAGATCCATCTCCCTGCCTCTGCCTCTCAAGTGCTGGGGTTAAAGATGTGCACCACCACACCTGGAAATGGAGCTTTCTTTTCCTTATTTTTTTTTTCCTTTTGGGGCCAGAGAGATGGCTTAGTGGTTAAGAGCACTTGGTGCTCTTGCAGAAGACCAAGGTCTGGTTCACAGAAATCACATGGTGGCTCACAACCATCCTCAACTCTAGTTCCAGGGATCTGTCGTCTTCTCCTGGTGTCCCTGGACACCAGACATGTACTGGATGAACATAGTGCATTCATATAAATAAAATCAAATAAATCTTCTAAAAATGTATAAATAGCATAAAAAGTTCATTCTGCCTGGCAGATGTTACCACGATTGGTTAGTTCTTCATTTTGTTTGTTTGTTTGTTTGTTTTGGTTTTTCAAGGCAGGGTTTCTCTGTAGTTTTGGAGCCTGTCCTGGATCTAGCTCTTGTAGGCCAGGCTGACCTCGAACTCACAGCAATCCTCCTGCCTCTGCCTCCTGAGTGCTGGGATTAAAGGCATGCGCCACCACCGCCTGGCTAGTTCTTCACTTTAACTTAACTTTAAAGGCCTTAGACTTATATTCTGTGACCCTAACATTCAGGAGGCTGACCCAGCAGGATCTTAAGTTCAAGGCCAGCTTGGGCTACACAGTGAGCCCTGGTCTTCAAAAGAAGTTGGGTGATGGTGGTACATGTCTTTATTTAATCCCCACAGTTGGGAGATAAGAGGTGGATCATTGAGTTTGACACCAACCTGGTCTACAGGGTGAGTTTCAGGACAGCCAGGGCTATGCAGAGAGACCCTGCCACTCCCCCCCCCAAAAAAAAACCCAAAACAAAAACAACAACAAAAAAACCCAATATCTACATCATCACATTCTGAAGTGCCGAGAGACAAAGCTTCAGTATTGGCTTTGGGAAGGGGAGGATCTTTAATCTCAGTCAGGCATGGCTGTACGTGCTTTTAATCTCAGTATTTGAGAAGTAAGAGGCAGGAGACTCAAACCCTTTGGAGAATTCTACGCAGTCTGAACTACATGAAACTGCCTGCAAAACAAAAAGGAGAGGAAGGAGATGGAGGAGGGAGAGGAGGAGGGGGAAAAGGATGAAGGAGAGGGAAGAGGAGGAGAGGGGAAGAAGAGGATGAAGAAGAAGGAGGAGGAAGAGGATGAAGGAGGAGGGGGAGGGGGAAGAGGTCTTGAGTTGCTACTGCTAAGTTTATTCTGTCAATTAGGTGACATTTATTGACATGTTTGGGGGATTCCAATGTGGACATCTTTGTGAGTACCATTCTTTTGTCTACACAAGCAGCTGTGTAAGGGGGAGAAGGGCTGTGACACCCACTTGAAAATGTGCTGTCAGGAAGATAACAGTTGAGGTTTCTGAACCCAGTTCACGCCCAAGGTCCTGAGAACCCAGCGCCTGAGAACCTCTTGGTGGGAGAGGGGATAGGCAGAGAAACAGTGGTTTCATCCTGAAATTTAGAACTTGGGACATCCCAAGCTTTAGATGAAGAGATTGCCCCTTCCCAGTGCTGGAGAAGCTGTGTGAGACCTCCAAGACTGTGTTGGGGGCAAGAAAAGAACAAGGAGATACCAATGTCATGCCACTGCCAGCAAGTAAAAGCCATGATTAAAGAGAAAGAGCTAGGCCAAGGAGTTGGTCCAGCTGGTCAAGATACCCGCTGCCAAGCCTTAGTGACTTCCCCTCCGCCCCAGAGCCCCACAGGATGGAAGAGAAAGCTGCCTCCTACAGGTTCTCCTCTGACCTCCACACAGGGGCTGTGGCATAGACCTGCATACACACATGAAGTAAAGAACATAATAAAATTTTCAGTGGGAAGAGAAAGAACGACCATCATTTATTTCCTTGTGTATAGTTCACATTTAACAGTCTCCATCCTCATCGGACAAAGGTTGGCCCTAGGGGATCCCAGAGGAAATGTCCTAGACAGGGTCACACTAGGAGTTATGTGACCAGTACAGTCTTACAGGGGCCCACACTGTGTGTAAGGGCATGTGTGTGCACTGTCATGTGGAGGTCAGAGGTCATAACCTCCTTGGGCATTGTCCCTCAGCAAATGTCCACCTTACTTTCCATTAAGATACTTTTTTAACATTCATTTATTTCTTGTGTGTGTATACACTTGCTTACCCACAAGCATGCATGGGGAGAAGCTGACTCCTCCCACTGCATGACCAGGCCTTCAGCCTCGGGGGACCAGTGCTCCTGACAGAGAATTGGAGCAAGGGCTCAGTGGTTTAAGAGCTCTTATTGACTCATTCTTTCAGGGACCCAGCACACACAATCAGGTGGCTCACAGCCCCCTGTAACTTTAGCTCCAGAGGATCCATCATCCTCTTCTGGATGCCAAAGGCACCGCAGTCACATGTACAAATACCCACACATATACACGCAAAATTTCAAAAGGCTTTCCACAAATTTTTGGTTTTTTTTTTTCTTTAAATTAAAGGCAGGGTTCCTCACTGGGGGCTGAGGTTCCCGGATTAAGCTAGGCTAGCTGTCCAGCGAGCCCCAAATGCACCTCCCCAGCACTGACACTGCCAGTTTGTGCCAACACACTCAGTTTACAAGATTGAACCCAGGTCCCCATGGCAGGCACTTTACCCACTGAGCTAGATAGATTTCTGCCTCCTGATCTTGAACTCTCAGTTTCCCCTGCCACAGTCTCCCAAGTGCTGGGATTACCCCTGTGAGCCACCACATCAGACTCTGATCATGCTTTTTTTTTTTTTGATTTGTTTTGTTTTTCCAGACAAGATTTTTTTGTGTATCCATGGCTGTCCACAAGCTCAGAGATCCTCCTGCCTCTGCCCTCTGAGTGCTGGGGCTAAAGGTGTGCGCCACCACCGCCTCCCAGTTCTACTTTTTGAACAAGAGCCTTGCACCTTCACTCTGCACCAAGACTTTTTTTTTTTACTCAGGGTCTCACTGCGTAGCCCTGGCTGCCCTGGAATTCACTGTGTAGATCAGTCTGGCCCCCAGCTCACAGAGATCCACCTGCTTCTCTCCCTGCCCCACTTCCCCAGTCCAGTGCTGGGATTAACGGCCTGTGCCTCCGAGCTTCCACTTGTTTTGTTTGTCTGTTTTGTTTTTACTCTGTGTATGGGTATTTTGCCTGCAGGTATATCTGTGGAAGACAGAAGAGGGCATCTGATCCCTTGGAACTGGAGTTACAGACGGTTGTAGGACTCCATGGAGGTGCTAGACACAGAACCAGTGTCCTCTGGAAGAGCATCCAGTGCTTTTAACCACAAAGGCATCTCTCCTTCCATCACATGCGTCCTGGGGACTGAACTCAGGTCATCAGGCTTGGCAGCACACACCCCTTGCTGATGACCCCCAACTCCCTTCCATTATCTTTAGGCTGTTTCCTTGGGCAACAGAACGGCTATTTTCCCCATGGAGATAGCATCTTCAGACACGCTGTCAGGTGCCTTCTGTCCAACCTAGGCCTCGAGGCTGGTGTGAGGAGTAGGGATGGCATGAAGAGGAAGCAAGATTGCTCACAGACAACAGATGTTACGGTTTGTTTATTGACATCTAATTCCCTTGGGTCTCCCACCAGAGACCACCCACTAAGAGATCCAGACAGATCCCAGTCTAGGTCGTCTCTAGATAGGGAGGACTTTGCTCCTGAAGGCAGAAGGACCAGTAATGGAAAGCCACTTTCTGGATAAGAGACGGTCACACTGAGAAAATAAGACTCTCCTACATTGCAGGGCCAAGGGTGTTAATGGGGCACCTCCTTTCGCCTGCACCACTCAAATAGGGAGACAGGAGAATCATTTCGAACTCAGGTAGGGCTTCGCACGTCAAAAGTTATTGTCTATGTTCCAGACATCGCCGCTGAGCGCGTTGGCTGCCCCCTGCAGCGTCCACGTGAGCAGCGCCAGCTGGCGCCGAAAACGGCTCTCTTGGAACCCCAGACCTGGTGCCAGTCCGGAGGAGTTGGTCTTGAAGCCATCGGAGCGCAGCATCCGCAGGTGGTCGAGCAGGGCACCCAAAGTGTGGTCGCCTTGGCCCAGGAAGATGTGGCGGAATGGAGAGTCCGCCGGCGACACATACTGGGACAGGCAGTAGAACTCCACCTGCATGAAAAAGTGAGAGCAGGTACAGATGCCGGGGTGTCCGTGGCTGAAGGCTTCAATCACCCCTCTGGTATCTGCTTCGCGGAGGATGTATCTTGCACACTCAACATCTCTCATGTGTGCATGTATGTGTGTTGAGGCCAAGGCCAATAGCTAGCAAGTCTTCCTCAGTCACGTTCCACAATATTTTTTGAGACAAGGTCTCTCACTGAACCTGGAACTTGCCAATCTGGCTAGAAGCCCTGGGTTTCTCCTCCGCCTTCCCAGTTTGAGGTCCAGGCATCCACCACGGAGTCTGAGTTTTACATATGTACTGGTGCTTTGAATTCAAGACCACATGCTTATATGGCAAACACTACCAACCGAGCCCAGACCTAGTCCTAGCCCTGTTTGTTTTTCTTGAAACAAAGACACACTATGTAGCCCTGGCTAACCTATAATTCACTACGTAGACCAGACCAGACTGGCCTCAAGCATACCTCTCGCCATTTTCTTCTCTCTCTCTCCCTTCCTCCTTCCTTCCTCTCTCTCTTGCTCTCTCTCACACACACCCACTCTTTTCCTTCCTTCCTTCCTTCTTTCCTTCCTTCCTTCCTTCCTTCCTTCCTTTCTTCCTTTCTTGTTTTGTTTTTCTTTTTTTCTTTTTTTTAAAAATTATTTATTTATTATGTATATGGTGTTCTGTCTACATGTGTGCCTACAGACCAGAAGAGGGCACCGGATCTCATTATAGATGGTTGTTAGCCATCATGTGGTTGCTGGGAATTGAACTCAGGACCTCTGGAGGAACAGCCAGTGCTCTTAACCTCAGAGCCATCTCTCCAGCCCTTGTTTTGTTTTTCAAGACAGGTTTTCTCTGTGAAACAGTCCTGGCTGTCCTAGAACTTACTCTGTAGACCAGGCTGGCCTCGAACTCACACCTGTCTCTGCCCGCCCCCCCACCCCCATGCTGGAATTAAAGGTGTGCACCACCATTTTCTTGACTCAGCCTCAGGAGCCCTGAGATTGTGGATTTATAGGCAAGCAGCATTTATACCATTTAAAATGTCTACTCAAGAGTCCATGTGTGCCCATGGCTTTGACCAGAACTTCAGTGGGCACAGCTTCCAGGTCACTTTGCCAAATCACTCATAGGCGCCTGCTCTACAGAATTAGGGGCTATCTGGACATAACCACACACATGCCAGCATCAGCTTCTTAAACATGAGATTCAGAGGCTGGGGGAGGGGTGGACAGGGTCTCATCATGTAGCCTAGGCTAGCTGTCTCAGCCTTGTAAGAGATGGGCGTACAGGCACCTCCACGCCTAGTTATTTGGTACTAGGGATGGAGTCCAGGGCTTCATGCATACCAGAAAGCACTCCCATCAACTGAACTACAGCCCTAACCTGTTTTATTTTTTCCTCTTTCTCTTTCTTTTCCCTTCTCTCCTTTTTCCCTACCCCTCTTTCTCTTCCTCTTTCATAGTATTGAGCACAGGCTATGGCCTCAGAGTCCCTTGTCTCTTACTTTGGCTCCACCATTACTTCCTGTGTGATCTTGGGTAAGTTACTTAGCTTCTCTGAGTCTTAGCATTGGGCTACACTCGGGCCATCCTCATGGTGTCATAGGAAGTCCTACTATTGAACAAATGAAGTAGCCTCACTGGCCTCTGGTAGCACCCTATGGAATGTCAGCTGCTATTTTCATTATCGAACTCATCTGTTTCCCACACCCTGCCTATACATTTTCCCTGCTAAACGGTGCCTTTCGGTGCAGGCGCCCCCTACAGGCATTTGCCAACATCTGCAGCTGGTATCCAGGACGCAACCTTCATAAAGTCCATTTCCTCGGCAGGCCATTAGTACTCCTGCCAGAATTCTTTAAACACACTCCGTTTGCCACCTTACCTCCTTTAAAGAAATTTTCATGATGCCTAGACACACAAAATCCAACTCCTCTGCCTGTAATTCCGGTTACTTGGAAGACTGAGGCATGTGGCTACAAAGGTCAGCTACAAAATGAGTTCAAGATCATCTGGGCAATTTAGCAAGACTTTGAAAATGTAAAGTGAAAAGCTGGTTGGAGGCACAGCTCGGTGATAAAGGTCCTTCCTAGAACCCCCAATGAGGGGTTGGGGTGTGGCTCAGTGGTAGAGCCCCTGCCTAGGATTCCCCAGTGAGAGACTGGGGGCGTGGCTCAGTGGTAGGGCATTTATTTAACATGCACAGTACCCTAATTTGATTCATACTACACACAAAACCCCAAATTTCCCCAGCTATGCGAAGGTTCCCCACATTGGTCCCTGTTCAGTGCTCCGCGGGGTCTCTGGGTCACCTCACAAGGTGAGGTGGCAAAACGGAGTTTGTTTAAAGGATCCATGCACAACTCCCAAGAAAGGCGAAGTCCATTTCCCTGCCTCACCCTCCACCCTGAAAGGTCCTCTTTCTTTTGCATCAACCGCATCAACCCAGGTTTTGCCTGCTCTTCAAACCACATAGTCTAAAACAGAGGTCAGCAAACTTTGTTTCTGCAAAAAGTCATGGAGTAAATGCTTCAGGCTTTGCAAGTTAAACAGTAGACAGCAAAGAGGCAGGCCTTTCCTACCCATTTCATCCCTGGCAGAGCCTGCGAAAGTGACGGGTCGGGTCTTCTAGCCTGGCTGGTTTACATGCCATACATACATATCCGGTATAAGTACGCCCAGAGGACAGGGACAGCTTAACGGACAGAGTGATTTAGAACGCCAGGTCCTGGGGACCCCAGGCCAGAAGGGGGCGGGAGGGAGCAGGGCCTCACCCTCATGATGCGCACGTTGTACATGCGCATCAGACGCTCGTCGCTCTGCTCCGAGCTGTAAATCTCCTTCCGCAGCTTCTCCGCCGCCCGGATGTAGTCCCCCCTCGCGGAGTACACCCACTGCAGGGTCAGTCCGCGGGCCTGTGGGTGAAACACAGTCTGAGACCGACAAATTGGTGCCAGCACCGATGCCTAGGGTGGGCTCAAAGAGCTGGCAGGAAGGGGGAAGAGATGCAGGGAGGCGACCAGGCCTTTGACGTTAGAGAGGGCGGATCCCAGGGACTTGGGTCGTACTGGCTGTGCCCTCGGGGATTAGGTGACTGGAGGTAGAAATAAAAAGGGCCAGACTGCAAGACAGGACCTAGATCTCAGGGCTGGGGAGAGGAGACGCCAGCCACCCCTAGAAATGAAACGCCCTGAAGGCTGTGAGCGGAATTGGCATCTTGGACCTTGAGGTCCCCAGAGAACTCGTTGAGGTTGCCGATGTGCCTGAGGACCACATCCCCATAGCGGCCAAAGTCGAACGGCAGCAGGTGATCGTGACTCAGTCGGATGAGTAGCTGGCCCGCGAGCTGAGCCACTGCCTGGGCCACGGCGGGCAGGCGACCTCGCAGCGTCTTGTGCAGATTCTCATAGGTGTCCTCCTTCGTGTGCAGGAACGGGTACTCCCGATCATTCTGCAGGGACATGGAAGGGCTGGGCGCAGGAACATGGTGCTGAGAGGCTGGGGGGCCTGGTGTCCTGGGGCAATGGCTCAGGAATCTCACCTCCATGAAGGAGAACTCCACAGCCGGGACCCCCGCAAAAGCCGTGAAGGAATATGCACTGCTGTCCATGGGCAGGGGCCGAATCCTGGGGGCAGGCAGGTTGGAGGCTTCTGAGGACTCAGTTTCCCCTCAGCCTCCACCCCCAGTCTCCCTTTCAACTTACACTTCGGAATCCCAGTTGGGATTGGTGAGCTGCACTTGCTCATAGAGCGTCTGTCCGCTGTGGTTAGGGGAATCCACCTGTGGCAGCAGGTTGAGGGGCACAAGTCAGGCTGTGTCCCCTTCCGGTTGCACTCCCACCATCTTATCTGCCATTCCCAGTCCCGATCCTGTCTTGCCTGCTTCAGGATGTTCTCAATGAGGCTGATCAGAAGGGGGCTGGTCTTGGCGTGAAATTTGCCATCTCCTGAAGGAAGGGAGGGGGAGGAAAGACAGGCTCAGGGAGAGAGTCAATGGCATAGATGGACCCACAGGACGCCAGGAGGTAACATTGCCCAGCTCACCCAACACTGAGTTGTCCAGGCTCACGTACACTACGGCTTTGAGGTGTAGCACGCTGAGATAGCCCTGTGGGTCAGGGAAGAACGTGAAGAAGGAAGGTTCCCCCCTCTGCCCCTCCCCATTACCTGGTTTCTTGCCCAGAACCCCAAATCACCTCCAACCACTCCATGGATCCCACACTGCCAAAGTCTCCTCCATCCCAACTGATGAACAAGAGGCTTCTTCGAGGTTTGAACCCTACATGCAGAGGGAAGAAACGGGGAGTCAGCACTCCCTTTCATCCTTCTCCATCCCTGTCCCCAGAGGGCCTCTCTTCACCAGCCCAGCATTCTAGCCCATCTTACATTGGATCCACCCTGACTTGATAATAATACCTTGGGGTGACTTCTAAAGATCCCATTTCTTGCTTAATCGACACTCAGGCCATTGACACTTAATACATTCCAGTCTTTATTTAGTTTTCAATTTTTTGAAAATTGATTTATGTGTGTGTGTGGGCACACACCCACTACAGAGAGGGAAAGCGGAGGTCTGTGGGCACTTGCAGGAATCTGGTCTCTGCTACCACCACGTGGATTCTGGGACTCCCGCTCACCTCAGGCTTGGTGACAAGCTCCTACTGTTGCCACCTTGCTGCCCTTATTTGTTGTTTTAAGACAGAGTCACATGTAGCCCAGGCTGGCCTCAAACTCCCTATATGGTAAAAGATGACCCGGTTCCAACTCCAAGTGATGGAATAACAGGAGTGGACCCTGCATCTGGCCTAGTCAGTGCCTGAGGTCAACACGCAAATGGAGCTTCCTATGGCATCCTCACACTTGAGGGTCATTGTGCTTTGTTCTATAGTCCCCTCCCCCACTGTGTGCTTGGTTGTCCCAATAGCCTGGCACCTTTCTCTTCCTCCCTCCTTTCTTCCCTTTCTCCCTTCTTTCTTTCTTTGCAGTGCCAGGATTAAACTAAGGGTCTTTTGCAAGTTAAGCAAGTTCTCTACCACTAAGATAAGCTATATATACCTTTTTTTTAAACTATTTTTTTTAATGGTTTTGTCTTGAAACAGGGTCTTGCTATGTAGACCCGACAGGCCTCAAACTCACAGAGACCTTTCTGTAGAGTACTAGGGATAAAGGCATATGCCACCATGCCTGGCTTTTTTTTTTTTTAAAAAAAAAAAAGATTTATTTAAGGGCTGGAGAGATGGCTCAGTGGTTAAGAGCATTGCCTGCTCTTTCAAAGGTCCTGAGTTCAATTCCCATCAACCACATGGTGGCTTACAACCATCTGTAATGAGGTCTGGTCCCCTCTTCTGGACTGCAGGCATACGCGCAGACAGACTGTTGTATACATAATAAAAAATAAATAAATATTAAAAAAAGATTTATTTACATTGGGGTTTTGCCTGCATATGTCTGTGTGAGGGTGTCAGATCTGTTAGAACTGGAGTTACAGTCATGAGCTGCCATGTGGGTTTTCAGCCTGTTGTTTTGTTTTTTGTTTTATGAGACATAGACTCACGTAGCTCCAACTGGCCTAGAGTTCATTATGTCTTTGAGAATGACCTTGAAATCTGGATCTTCCTGCCCTAGTCTCCTGAGGGCCAGACTTACAGGGATGTCTGGTCAATTCATTTAAAAAATTAAAAATATTTTTGTGTGTATTGTGTGTATGGGTGCATACATACAGTGGCATACATGTGGAGGTGAGAGGACCGCTTTGGGAAGCTGGATCTCTCTACCATGTGACTTCCGGGAAATCAAACTCAGGTCAATGGACTTGGTAGTGAGTGTCCTTACTCACTAAGGCATCTGGTCAATCCCCCAGGCTAACACGCTGATGAGGAGACAGTGTATTGGCGAAGCTACTTGCCCAGATCCACACACTGGATACTGCAGTTGTGGGACTCGGAGCCAAGTGACCTCTCTCCAGGACAAGCTCCCAACTACCTTTGACCTAGGACTAGCTCAGGCACGACACAGCCCCAACTCACACAGGTCTTGGCTCCTTACCATTGCTGACCATGGAGGAGAAGGTCCGCACCAGCTCCAGCAGGATGGCAGTCCCCACTGCAGACTTGGCTGCTCCTGGCCCCCAGGCGTCCCTCTGGGCCCCGATAACAACATAGTGATCTGAGGAAGATGTGTGGAGCCCACGTCTTAAACTGACAAGGTCTCCCCATGTGGCTCTGGAGGCTGGGTGCTCCCAGAGCCTCACTCATTCCTCTCCAGCCACAGCCCCTCCCATTTCCACACCGCAGCTCTCTGATCCCTGCTGGGTCAGAAGCCCATGCCCATCTCTCTTGGCCCTTGCCCAGACGGACTGATCGATCCATCAATAGGCATTTGGAGATTCAAACACACAGGTCCCCCCTCCCCTCTTGCTTTCGGAGACAGAATCTCACGTAACAGAGTCTGACCTTAAACTCATGATTTTCCTGCCTCCACTTCTCCCTCAGTGCCGGAATTACAGGCATGCATCACCATATCAGGTTGTACGTGGTGCTAGCATGAAACCCAGAATTTCTTCCATGCTAGGCAACCACTCTGTCAGCTGAGTTACTGCTGTTAGAGGGGGGCATTCTATTTTGCTGGAGTTTGGGGCTGTTTTTTCTGTTTGTTTTTCTTTGTATTTTACACTGGCCTTGAACATCTGATTTCCGGTCTCTAGGTGTGTGCCACCACTCCTGGCTCCTTCCTCTGCTTAATACAGGTTCTCTCGTGGCCTAGGCTATGTAGCCTAGGCTGGTCTTGAACTCATTAACCTCCTGCTTCAGACTCTTGAGTCCTGGGATGATGGATGTGGGCTCCCATGCCTGACTAACCCTAAAGGCATTCTGGACTCGCTCCTCTCCCTGGTCAGTCAGGTTCTGCATCTTCCCTGGCCTGCTTTCCTCTCCTCAGCTCTTCTGTGCCCAACTCCCACCTCCAACATCCTCCTCCGGGTGTCCCCTGGGTCTCTGCTTCTCCCTTGACACCTGGACGGTCAAGGGTTTTCCAGGCCTGCTCCACCCTGCCAGGTCCGCTCAGCAACGTTTGATTCCCCAACACCAGAGTCATCTGTCCAATCTGGCCTTTGTTTGAGGACTGGATACCTAGTATAACATCCTCCAACACACGCTTGCTCACGTCCAGAGTGAGGGGAGCTCACTATTAAACAATACTACCCATTCAGAGGGCTCCTCACTGCCACCCCTCATCAGTCCCCCCTCGGCCTCCATTCCCTGGACATCACTCCTAGCCTTCTCCAGGGCCTCCTGTGCCAGTCTTCTCTGGTTGGTTAGGAGCAGAACCTCCTAAGCTGTGGGGGATGCTGGGCAGACAAGCCCACCTGGCTCTGCGAAGCCCTCGATGCAGGCAAAGATGTTGCTGATGGGAGTCGAAGCCCTGTGGTTGTTGACCACCAGACGCAGGCGTGGCCCAGGTCCTAGCCGATAAGGAGTGACTGAAAGGCGGCCTTTCCATTCCTTGGGGGCCACAGGGCCTTTGAGTTTCCTGGAAAGCGATGGAGGAGGAAAATTTTGCAGTGATACTGCGGCCTAGGCTGCACAAGAGCCTCGAGCCCCATTTCCTCCTTTCTTATTCCCGCTGTCTGGCTGGAGACCTTTGTCTCTGTACCCTGCCCAACAGGACAGTGCAGCCTGGGGCTGCCACGGGCAGTAGTATAGGCTATGCTTTGAGCGAGGGTCCTCAGCACTAGTGGGTGTACCAGATGTGAAGCCTGGTAAAAGGAGTGCCCACCTAGAAGGTCACCTCTTCTTTCGGGTGTGTATGCAGGCACATGTGTGGAGATCTGTGTGCACATGTGTACAGAGACAACCTCACACCTTGCCCTCGTGTGCTAACCACATTTTTGTTTTTGTTTGCAAGTTTATACCACACTTTCTTGTGTGTGTGTGTGTGTGTGTGTGTGTTCAGCATGTGTGCCACAGTGTACGTGTGTAGGACAGAGGACAGTTGCGGGTATCCGTCCCCTCTGAGTATGTGGGGCTTGGAGGTGGTTTTCAGGCTTGCAGGCAAGTGCCTTTACCCATTGAGAAATCTGTCTAGGTCATTTGGGGGTGTGTGTGTCAGATCTGCACTTGGCATGAGGCTCACTAAGTTCTCTAAGTTGGATGCCAGTGAGCTCCAGGGACCACCTGTCGGCCTCTCCAGCGAGGGACTGCAAGCACACACTTAGATTCTGTTTGTTTGTTTTGTTTTGTTTTTGAGACAGGATTTCACTGTGTAACAGTCCTTGCTGTGCTGGGACTCGCTCTTGGCTGTCCTGGAACTAGCTCTTCTAGACTAGGCTGGCCTCGAATTCACAGAGATCCACCTGCCTCTACCTCCCTAGTGCTGGGATTAAACCCATGCACCACCACTGCCTAGCTGGTTTTGTTTGTTTTTAAAACAGGTTCTGGTGATGGAAATCAGGTCCTCATACTTTAGTGGCAAGCCCTTTATTGACAGAACTATCTCCCCAGTCCCAGGGTCATCTTATTCACCCAAGGAACTCTTCAGTAACACTCCCCCTGACACACACACACACACACACACACACACACACACACACACACACACACTTTTCATCTCTTACCTGAGCAAGCGTTCAGCAATGTCTGCACTGATGGGCTGGGCGGGGATACTGGGAAGGCCTGATGATTCTACAGGAGGGAACTGGGTTTGATTGAAGGAAGGGAAGCCAGGCGTATAAGGGTCTCCAGTTCCCAGGTGCACCTAAAGAGGAAGGGGTAGCAACTCTGAAACTGGGTTGTACAAGCCCCATTTGTAGAAGATAGTTCTGGCTTCCCCTGAGACTCACATGTCCATATACAGCCTGGTGGCTGGATAGGCCTGGTTTGTGAGGGTCCTGGGAGAAATCTGCTGGGTCCGGGTATATCAGCACTCCGTGGGCCCCAAAGTCCTGGGCAATGGCTACCTGAGGGGGGCACAGAAAAGCAAGAGAAGGTAAACTGGCTCCTTTCATCTGCCGCTGTCATCCTGAAGGGATTGTGTGTAGTTATCACTTGGCACTACAAGTATTGTAGCCCTCCCTCAGCGCCTCTAGCATTTAAAAACCTGCGTGCCCAGGGCTGGAGAGACGGAACACGGTTAAGAGCACTCACTGCTCTTCCAGAGGACCTGGGTTTGATTCCCAGTACCCAAATGGCAGTTCACAACTGTCTGTAACTCCAGTTCCAGGAGATCTGACATCCCGTCTGGCCGCCACAATTACCAGGCACATATGCAGTGCACAGACATATATGCAGGCAAAAAAAAAACACCAATATACTTACTAAAATAATTAAAACAACAACAAAAAAATGTGCAAGCCAGGTAATGATGGCGCACACCTTTAACCCCAGCACTCAGGAGACAGAGGAAGGCAGATCTCTGAGTTTGAGGCTAGCTTGGGCTACAGAGCAAGTTCCAGGGCAGCCATGGTTATGCAAAGAAAGCCTGTCTTGGGGGGAAAAAAATTAAGACAGATCCTCGCTGTGTAGCCCAGGCAGGTCTTGAATTAACAATCCTCCTGCCTCAGATTCCTAAATAGCTGGGGTTACAGGTTACATCCTGCCTGTCTCTGATAACATTTTCTTAAAATGTGCCTGATTTTTCTTTTCTCCCCATGACAGCCTCCTAGATCTTTCCCACGAAGACACGCCTATTCCCCAGACCACTCGCGCCTCACTTCACGCGCTGTCTTCTTTGGGACCCTCACCTTCTGGGCAAAGCTGGTAATCCCAACGCGCACTAGCAGGAGACTGCCGGTCAGCTCCACACCCTGGGCTCTCAGGTCCTGCAGATCCTCCTGCCGCCCGTAGTGGGCGTACACCAGTTTGCCCTGGAAACCGATGGATCTTTGAGGCACAGCGCCCGTATCCCAACTCTGCTACCCACCGAGGATGTGATAGGCTCCCCATGCCGGGAGCCGACCTGAGGCGCTCACCGTGGCGTTGCCGGTGGCGCTGTAGGGACAGTAGACTTCCGGATCCTCCAGCGGTAGCTGCTCTTGGGCACTCCCGGCTGCATCCACCCAGTGCAAGGTGTTAGGGTGAGCCCTGAGGACGAGGAGGGTGAGCACCCCTGGCTGTGCAACCCCATGACATGTCCCCTTGTCGCGTTCCCAGACTCACGGGTCCGGCAGCTGAAGCCCCACATAGTGCGTGTCAGTCCACACGTGGTTCAGCTTGTGGCTCGAGAATATGTCGAGGATATCTTGCACCAGAGTGGCCATCCTGGCTGAGCCGGCCATGCGTTCCCGGAGGCTGGTCAGCCTGAGCAGAGAAAGATCGCTCAGGGAGGAGGGGAGCAGTACAGGAAAGGGACTCCCACGTACCCATAGAAGTAGGAAAAACGCAGGCCTGGAACGGTATTTAATGTGTCCCGGGCTAGCCTCAGACTCAGGCAGAAAGCATTTGGGAGGTGGAGGCAGGAAGATGGGGCTTCGGGACAGGACCTCACCCTGTCTGCTCCCATTGTCATCACCAAGCAAGAAATTGTCACCTAAACTCAACCTGGTCTGCCTTCTCACCTCCGGCGGGCATGTGCTGCCCTCTCAGGGTTTGTTACCAAGGTCTATCTATTATCTTTGTAGGGGAAACAAACTACCTTCCCCGTTTATCACAGAAGTGTGGCCATTCCCGGGGTGGCCACATCTCCCATGGGTCTCTTGGGTTTCCGGACCTCCAGTCTTGGGATGGAGGTGCTCCTGTCTCTCTAACTCTACTCCCCCACCTCTCAGTCCCTTGTGGAGGATTCTAGGAAATCAATCTAGCACTGAGTCACAGGGGTCAACCCAAAACACCTTTACATTTCTTTCTGTTCTATTTTTAGACAAGGCTATGCTGAATTGCCAAGGCTAGCCACAGACTCACTTGAAACCCAGGTAGGCACAGAACTTCTCTGTTTTAGCTTTTGGATAAGTTAGAACCTGGTTCTCGCCTCCCATTTCTGGGACCCCGGGGATTGAACTAACTCTGGTTGTTGGACTTGGTAGCAATCACCTTTACAAGGTGAGCCATCTCACCAGCTCTGAGCTTCTGACATCACTTTTTGAAGACACATTTTAAGGTTCTGATGTCCTCCCTTCATCCTCAGTGTATTTGCCAGTCTATCTGTCTGTCTGTCTGTCTGTCTTGGGAGGAAACATTTATGCTGGCTCACATCTCCAGAGCTTTTGAGGTGTTGTCTTTTTCATCCCTTACTACATGGTAGAAGGCGTGAACTTAGGGAAACTTGGCAGTAGGTGGCCCTACCCACATTAGCTTTCATAAGATTTGTTTGGGAGTGTGTGGCGGGGGGGGGGGGGGGAGTTCAAGGACGGCCTTGAACTCCTGATCCTCCTGCTCCCATCTCCCAGCTACTGGGATCACAGGTGTCAACCACCACACTTACTTCATGCCACTTGAGGGATCAGAGTGAGTACTCTGTCACGGAGCTCTAGCCCCAGCCTCAGACTGGGGGTTCTCTAGGAAGACAGAGCCATCTATGGGATTAAGTTCCCTGCTGTGGGTCAAGAGCTACACCACGATCAGGCTTGGGAAGGAAACGATCAGGCTTGGGATGGAAACACGTGGATCCAAACGGCTGAATAAACATTAAAGACAGGACTAGCTTAGCTTTGATCCTCAGTGCAGAGGAGGAGAAAAACCCAGGTACACACCTATGATTCAAGCACTTGGCAGGGGCAGTGTTGAAGGGAGAGGATCTTAAGTTTGAGGGCAGCCTGAGCTACATCACAAGACCTCATCTGAACAAAGCTAAAAGCAAAACAAATGAAATCAAACGAAATAGGAAAAAGGGCTAGTGATGTAGCTCGGTGGCAGACTCCTTGTCGACGAGCACGCGAGGCCCTAGGTTCAACCCCAAGAACTGTAAACGTGAGATGGCTCAGCAGGTAAGTGGTGCTTGTGGCCAAGCCTCAGGACCTGGGTTCAATCCCTGGGATCTATATGGTAGATGGAGAGAACCGACTGCTGCAGGTTGTCCTCTGACCTCCACACATGCACAGCAACATCCAAGCACCATGCCTTGACAATAAATAAATAACGATTAAAGAAAGAGGGGCTGGAGAGATGGCTTGGCAGTTAAGAGCACTGGCTGCTCTTCCAGAGGACCTGGGTTCAATTCCCAGCACCCATATGGCAGATCACAACTGTTTGTAACTCCAGTTCCAGGGGATCTGACACCCTCACACAGACATACATGCAGCCAAAACACCAATGCACATCAACTAAATAAATGAATAAACGTTAAAATAAAAGAAGGAAACCCAAAGAGGAAAAAAATCATGTGGTTGTCTCAGTACATGATGAGAAAATAGTTTTTAAAAATTTCAAACCTATTCTTTATTACCTGACCATTACACAAACTAAAATTAAAATGTCGTTTAACTTTATGAAATATTTATTTATTTATTTTGGCATGGGTCTCATGTGTCCCAGACTAGCTTCCAATTTACTATGTAGCCATAGTAAGGATGACCTTGAATTCCCAATCCTCCGGCATCAATTTCCTCCGTGCTGGGAGTACTGTGCATGTGCCACCTCTGTTTTCTTTCGCTCAGCTGCCTGTCTCCTAAATAAACCATCCTTAAAGTCTCAGGTCTGTGATGCTCAGGTCCTGGTATCTGCCGTCCTTCCAAGGACCGCTGAGCAGGGAAGCCAGAGAGGAGGGTGGAAAGACCCAAGACGGGGCTTGGGCAGCGTGGGAACTGCAGGATCTCCAGTCTGAATTGGACTGGACGCTGGGCTGGGCAGGAAGCCAGGCTACTCTTACCTGATGGTGTCCTCCAGGTGCCCCTCTCCAAGGAACCGAAGAAACATGTTCCGGAGGTCACTCCAGTACAACGTGCCCAGGCCGGAGTCGAGGCCAAACTCAGAGTTGACATCCTCGCTGACCACCAACACGGAGTCCCCGCATGTCTGGCAGGACCCTCGAAAGGCCACATAGCCCAGGAGGAAGGCTGGCAGGTGGTAAGATGTGGGTTCTCTCGTGCCCTCTTCTATTGGACCCCAGAAATGCTCCCAGCCCAGGCCCTTCACTGTGGGTGTGGGGGGAAGGGGGGACGGGAGACGGGACTCACCCCCAGTGAAGATCAGCAGGGCCGTCAGGATCAGATAGGGGGCAGCCTTTCGACCCACGGCAGCCCAGGGGATGGGAGCTGATCTCCGGGGACTGGAGCCTAAGGACTCAGGGCCCTTGAGTTCCATGGGGCAGAACTGGGCAGGCAACTCGACCTCTTCCTCCCTGTCTTCCTCTTCCTCCTCCAGGTGGCCCAGATCAGGGCCTTCCACACGTTTATAGATGGTCTGAGAGGGTCTTGGGGACCAGTGCTGCTGTGTGGAGAGGGGAGGTAGGCATGAGATTAGGGAAGGGGCCTAAGAGTTGGGGATTAGGCAAGAACTGTGCCACTGACTTGGGCAGGGAGGGACCCAAGAGGGATGGGGTGGGGCCAACCTTATGTATTAGGGAGGGGCTTGAGGAACGTGAACGAAGACTCAATGTGTGTAAACCCACCCCCATGGTCTTACCGCTCTCTGCAGTAGACCCCAAAGTTGCTCCATGCTTGCGCCCCCTCCTGAATCCTGCAAGTAGCCCCCCCCCCACAATGATAAACCGTTTGTGGGAGCCCCAGAGGGCCCCTTATCAGCCCTGGCAGGCAGTCTGAGCCTAGGCTGTTGCTCACCAGGGTGGGAGCACAGTCTGGCCTCGGTCCAGCCTTCCAGACATCATCCCCGCCTCCCCCCCCCCCTCAGTTCATGCCAGAGGACAAGGGGTTGTACCTTCTCCTGCCAATCCTTCCACAAACCTCGTTACTGCCGGCTAACAGCAAATCAATCTTTTTTTTTTTAAAACCTCAGGCAGGGCAGACTTTGACCACCTTAGTTCCGGTCACAGGTGGGGGGAGGGGGCTTAAAGTGAGGGGGAAGGGGAAAGACGGACAGGTTCCTCCCTTCCCCATTCCACCCTCTCTCAGTGCCCTTGCGGAAACATCCCTAGCCCCCCGTGGAAACTTCATCATGAACATTTCTGTTCCTCTCCACCCCTTGCATCTGGTTTTTAGGCTCCCCAACATACAGCCCTCCAAATAACACGTTAGCTGGTCTTCCTGCTTCAACCCTTGCCTCAGGTAGATCCCAAACTAGCGACACCCTAGTGGGGTGACTTGGTGGTTTAATCTGACCATAAAGTTGTCAGTCTGTTTGGAATCTGGCCTATATTGGTTTCTGGGGAGGAAGGGCTGTAAATGAGCCAAAGGGGTCAAAAGGAATCGGTGAGTGAGTGGGTCCTGGGGTCAGGAAACTCTGGATTTACGTCCGATTTACGTCCACTTCACCATCAGGGGAGGCAGAAAACGTCCTGACCAAGCCACCCCGGCACCAGCACCTCTTGGGTCACTAATTGGGACTTAATTAGGTGTTTCTCCCTTTAGGGGTCTTCCGCTCTCTAAGAATTTGATGAAGGGCTACAATGGCAGTTTATCTTCCAGTTTCAAATCCAAGCCGCGCCCAAGACACCGGGACCTGCAGCTCTGAATGGGAAAGTTCGGGGTCCACCTCACCCTCACTCCCGATCCGGGTCTCCCCTGGGAAACTGCAGATCCTAACCAGGTACAGAAAGATCTGAGCGGTAGGGGCTCACCAGTACCCCAGGCCCTGCCTCGTGCCTGTCAAAAGCGGAGTCCTGAGTAGGAAGACACAGCAGCCAAACTCGCTTTAGTAACAGGTCCCTGGATTTCTTGAACCACGCTCTCAAGGAGACGCAAAGCCTGAGTTTAGGCCACACCCACTAGAGCACGCCCCCGGGATCGCCCCGCCCCCGTATGTCCTTTTTTGGGGCAGCCCAGCGCTCAACCCGCAGAGTCCTCCGGTTTTGTTACTTCCCGGGTCCTGACCCCCTGAAAACTAAGAATTTCGTGCTCAAGCATAGCATAAATGTAGCTGTGACTCTCTCTGACCTCTCACCAGACCCCCGCGACCCACTCCCTATCCCCAAGAAGAGCAAATTCTTTTTATTTTCTTAAAACTTTTTTTTTTTAACTTATTTCAACTCAGAAACATCACAGTCTAAGAAGATATAGGTAAGAGAGGAGAGGGCAGTGGGAGATGGAGGGTTCAGCGCTTTTGGAGGCCTGGCTGGTAGAACGCCCCTCTGGCATCCGTCTCCCCACAACGCTGTGGAGGGGGTGGGTGGGTATTTGCGGAGGGGGAGGGGTCGACCTCAGGGGCACTTCCGCTCCACGCACTGCTTCCCGCCCTCTTCGTATTCCTGCTTGGAGATCCACATCTGCTGGAACGTGCCCTGGGAGAAAGCGGCAACATAAGCTGTCAGGATAGCCCTGGCAGTTCCTCTACACCCCCACACCCGTTCTTCCTCCTTACCTGCATGCATTTCTCGCCTACATTCCTCCTCCTTACTGGGAGTAATTTTAGGCAGCTCTAGCACGGAGGAGCTACATCTCCAGCCAGCCGCTCACTGGGGGATTCTAGGCAGGTGCTCTACCACTGAGCACACCCCAGTCACTTATTGGGGGACTGAAAATTCTTGGTTAGTATGTATATGTGCCTGTGTTTGCATGTGCGATGACTGGTCAACATGTACATATGGAGGACACCTTGGGTGTCAGTCCTTTCCTTTCCGCTTTGAGGCAGGGTCTCTCCTTTGTCACTCTGTTTGGAGGCTAGATGACCTGTCAGCTTCGGAACCGCTCCTATCTCCTCCCATTTTGCGATAAGAGCGCTGGGATTATAGACAAATGCTCTCACTCTCTGTCCTATGTGGGTTCTAGGGATCTGAACATAGGTCTCTACCCACTGAACCATCTCCTCGGCCCTTGCCTTTTATTTTGACGAAGGGTCTCACTGAGTTCTCACGGATGGCTGCTCTGCTTCCATCTGAACGTTGGTGTCTCCAGCTCACGAAGCAGCCTTCCCGGGTGACCTCATTTGTTCCAGTCTCTTGTTTGAGACTCAGACACCCAGCTGTCTCTTGGCTACTTCCTCCTGAATACCCTTGACCTTAAGCTTTCTATGCCCTTAACGGAGCTCAGGGAGCTTACCGTCTTCCCGTAGGCTTTGCCCAGATCTGTTCTCCTTTGGTCTTGCCCCTCCCCTCCTCTCCCTTCCCCTCCAGTCTCCTCCCTCCCCTTTCTTCCTCTATCTTGCCATCCCTTCCCGTTACCTCCCTCCCCCTTCCTTTCCCGTTACTTCCCTCCCCTTCCCTTCTTCCTTTCTTTTTCCCCTTCTGTTTTCACCCCCCAGCCCCTCTCTCTTTCAACAGACTCTCATATAACACAGGCTGACCTTGAACTCTGTGTAGCTGAGAACATGAATTCTATCCCCCAAACCCACATTAAAAACCTGGGCATAGTAACACTAGGGAGGCAGAGACAGGCACATCCCTGAGGCTCACAGGCCATCTAGCCCACTCTGCATAGTCCCCTTGGTCATGCCACAGATCCCAGGACATACCATGGGAAGATTCATGCACGACACACCTGTTGTCATTGAAACACTCTTCTATCCCAAATTCCAGGATGTCCCCACTGCTCACTGCTGACCATGGCTGCCTCACCAAAACCATATCCTCACCAATCTCTCTGCCTTTAGTCCCTCTGCTTCCCAATTTGTACCCCAAAGAGGCCCCCCAGACTTTGGGGAGCACTCATTGATTGCACTCTCTCAAAAAACATTTTTTTTTTTCTTTTTCAGGGCTGGGATTATGTCTCAGCCGGTACAAACAAGGTGGAAGGCACTTGAAGAATGACAGCCCAGTTTGTTCTCTAGCAACAGGGCCTTGCTATGAAGGCCAGGCTAGCTTGAACTTGAAATCCTTCTGCCTCAGCCTCTCTAGTGCTGGGATTACAGGTGTGACTAGGTACGTGTTGTTGAATAAAAATGGACAACCCTCAGGGTCTTCTCTCCAATTACTCAGTGGCGTGCCCCTTCCCTCTCTCACTAGTGAGCTGGGATTACAGGTGTGACTAGGTACGTGTTGTTGAATAAAAATGGACAACCCCCAGGGTCTTCTCTCCAAATACTCAGTGGCGTGCCCCTTCCCTCTCTCACCAGTGAGGCCAAGATGGAGCCCCCGATCCAGGGGCTGAACTTGCGCTCCATGGTGCTGTTGCTGGCGATGAGCTTCAGCCGCATGCTCTGGTGGGGGAAAAGGGATTGGGGAAAATGGGTATCTAGATCCTGGGGACAGACAAGGTAGGCAGGAGGAAGCCACAGAGGCAGGGTCCTGAGCATTCCCATGTAGGGGAATCAGGAGGGATTTGGGGTTCGAAGAGCTAAACCAGGGTGGGAATCCAGGTGCCCAGAGTGGGGTGGGGTAGGGTGGGCTCTTACCGGCGGGGTCTTCTGGGAGAGCTCCCGATTAAGCCTGTCTGTGAAGCCCTGGAGCAGAGTGTTCCCGCCAGTGACAATGACACTGCCGTAGAGACCCTGGGAGCAGAGAGAAGGGTGAGCCTGAGAATAGAATCCTTCCCTTTCCCCAGGTCAACCCTAGTCCCTTCACCCAGCCTTAGGTCCTGGTCTCACCGGGCGAATGTCAATGTCACACATGCCGATGCTGGTGGTGACCACGTGACCCACTCCTAGCATGGTGTTCCCAGACAGGCCCTGCGGACAAAGGTGATGTGAATTTTGGGGACTCTGCCTCCATTTCACCCAAACCCCTGTCATCCTTCCCAGACTCCACACCTCTGGATTCAAGATTCCAGCTAGCCCCACCCCAACCAGCACCCAGCACCCAGCCAAACCTTGACGTTGGAAGGATCGAACAGGCCCTCAGGGATCCGAAGTCTCTCAGCGCCGTAGTCTGTGTTGTAGCCGTTGGGCATTTCATAGTGCACGGTGGGCATTTGTGCGGCCACCCTGCTCAAGAGAGAAGCAAGGCTATCTGGTGTGCTCATGCAGGTCTGCCAGGTGGGTGCTCGAGAGGCTCCCGTGAACCACAGTTCTGCCCCTCCCCATCTTTGGTTTTTGAAATGGCATCTCATGTAGCCCAGGCATGCCCCCCCAACTCAGTAAGTAGCAGAGGCTGGCCTTGAACTCTTGTTCCTCCTGTCTCTGACTCCCAAGTGCTGGGTATCAAGCTTGTACCACCAAGACCTGTAGATGTGGTGCTGAGGATGCAACCCGGAGCTTTGTGTACCAGGTGAACTGAGCTATAAACCCAGCGCCCCTCCCCCTGCTCTGTAAGCCAGGCTGACCTGGGACTCTCCATCCTCCTGCCTCAAGCTCCCTGAGTGCTGACATTACAGGAACTGCAGTATGTTCAGTACCAGTTGTACCCCCTTTCCCTCCCGGTGGTGCTCAGCTCTACTCACTGTTCATCGTAAGGGGAGTCAGACACCTGCAGCACGGAGGCCTGGAAGTCTTGGATCACCTCCTGAGAAGCAGGGAGGGGTGAGGTCTGGCTGCCCTCTGTCTCCATCTTGAGCCTCCCTTTCCCCAGCTACAGTCCACCCACGGTCATGCCCTCCCCCCTCTAGTGATGTAGCGGAGGACCAGGGGCTGGCGGCGGGAGGGGAGGGGCTTTTTTCAGCTACAGCCTTACATTGCACATGTAGTTATGCCAGGACTTGGAGACTTGAGGTAGCTTCTCCTTCTTCTTCCAATTTGGGGGAGCTCCCTCCCGCACAGGCTCCTGTGAGGACACAGTCTTTGAGCGTCCTTCCCCAGCTGGCACTTGTCCAGCCCATTGGCACATCTGTCTCCCTAGCAGCCGCCCACCCGCTCTGCAGCTGACCAGCCGTCAGGGGACAGAGACAGGGAAGTGAAGGTAGGGAGAAGCTGTCCCATACGTTGAAGCACACACTACAGACGTGATCAGAAGGGCCTGCCTGCATCCGGGGCTAGGGATGGAGCGCAGTGGGTAGAGCATTTGCCCAGCGTGCAGGGAGCCCTGGGTTCCAGACCCAACCCCAGGACTGAGGAGGGAGAGGCAGAAGGACTGAGAATTCAGAATCATCCTCGGTCACATGGTGAGTTTGAGGCCAACCTGGGCTATGTGAGATCCCACCTCAAAACAGTAGTTAATGGAGCTTTCCTTCCTCATCTGGGATGCTTATTTATCTATATATTTATTTATTTATTATGTGTACAATATTCTGTCTGCGCGTGTGCCCGCAGGCCAGAAGAGGGCATCAGCCCTCATTACAGATGGTTGTGAGCCACCATGTGTTGCTGGGAATTGAACTCAGGACCTTTGAAAGAGCAGGCAATGCTCTTAACTGCTGAGCCATCTCTCCAGCCCTCTGGGATGCTTTTAAATGATGCTCTGGGCCTTGTGGTTCTTCCCTGGCAGAGGAATGACTTCAACCTGGGGTTTTATTTTTGGTTCAGATGTTTTGTTTTGTCTTTGAGATGGGACTCATGCCATCCAGGCTGGCCTTCATACAGCCAGGATTGGTGTGATGCTGGGGATTCAAGTCAAGACTCCTTACATGTCAAGGCCTTGTTAACTGAACCTCATCCCTGGTCCCTGTTTGCTTGCTTGCTTTTTGAGAGAGAATGACT